AGGCATTTCCATAGGGCCTTAGAAAGACACATCTCTGGCTTCATTAATGCAAAGCACTAAACTATGATCTGGATATATCAGATAAATGAGCAGTATGTGTGGCTGATAGTAGCATGAGAAGAGCCCTGTTGGATCAGACCAAAATATCATCTAGTTAGGCTTGCCAAGTTTCCCCGCCCCAGAGGCCCGTTCCCCGCCGGTGGTGGATCGGGCCCCAGGGGAACCCCACCCCCAAAGTACGTGACGTGCACGTCACACGAAAGTGATGTGACCACGCCGGTCACGTGGGGGGCGGGGCCACGGTCATCCGAGGGAAAACTCTATGGTTTTCCCTCGGATGGTCGTGGCCCTGCCCCCAGCGTGCCCGGTGTAGTCGCGTCACTTCTGGGTGATGGGGTTGCAGCATGCACATGAAGAGCGTGTGCTCCAGGAACAAGCCGGGAGCCCCCCGCTCCAGCAGCAGGTAAGACTTGGCAACCCTACATCTAGTTCATCATCCTTTCCCCCAACCAGAGGCCTCCAGAAAGCCCAAAAGTTCAGCAAGAAGCCAATAGCACACTACCAGTGTTCTCCCCAGCAACCAATATTCCAGTGGCATACTGCCTCTGAACATAGATCTTTAATGTTGCTAGTCTCTGACTAATAGCTACTTGTTAGATCTTTCTTTCATAAATGTATCTGCTTCCATTTTAGTGGCCATCCTGACAATTTGGACAGGGCCCAAGCATGGGAGGGAGGGTTATAGTAACCCAGAAGTCCATCAAGGCCTATCTCAGGCTACAACCATGATGTGGTTTATTTATGTTGTTTCAGAAGTAAAATGGAATTGTTTGTCCTTTGTGCCTTATGGGATTACATGGAGGGGATGTGGGGGGGGGGGTCAGAATATGATGATTTTGGTTCTGATCTTGTGGCAGAAAATTCTATAAGTTAATTATGTGTTGTATGGGTTTTTCCTGTCCTAAATCTGTTCTCATTCAGTTTTATTAAGGAACTCTGACTTTCATTATGGGAAGCTTGATCAGAACCTTTCCATTTGTATAATTCTATAATAATCAGAACAGTTTAATTGCAGCATCCCAAAATATTATAAAGGGAGGTGCTGCATTTTCCTTCCTTCCTCTCACAGATATCCATTCAGCTTTCAGTAACCTTTGGCATTCAGCCAAGAGTGAGGGCCTTTCTTCATTTTTTAAAAATTGGGTGTTTGTATTTTAAGAGAGGGTTAAATAGCTTGAATGATGACAAGCAAAAACAAAACACTGTAATGCATCTCATACTCAAGGCACTTGAATCATAAAAGGTTGTTATTTTATTGTAAGAATGTAATGAGTCACAAGGACAGCAAGGTTGTAAAAAGATGAAAAGCACAATTCTAGCATCTGACCTCTAATCCCTAGAGATAGATCAGTTATCTGATTGACCTTCTCATGGTTGTCATAGCAACTGAGAGAAAAAGAAGAGACTCCCAGAAAACAGCAGGAAACAGGATTTGACATGGAGAGGAGAGGTTTCCTGGTTATAATCAGCAATGAAGGGAGGCACAGAAGAAGGACGCCAGACCACACTCCCCAGTTCAGGCCTTCATAGGACTTGTGAATCACTACCATCTGTTTCTTTTTGACATCATCTTAGGGTGCTTGTGTGCACTCCAACCTCCAGCAGCTCTATTTCCCAGGCTCACATTTCAGGACTAGAGGTATGTTGTTCATCCCTTTAAATTAGAGTCCCTACTCCTGCCCCTTCTTCAGACTGGATTCACGTGACCATTAGGCATGTAGTAACTGCTCCAAACTCCTGCACCCACTGGCTGCCCATGCGTAGCATCTGATCATTTGTATCCATGACCATATTCCAGATTTAGTTTTAAAAACATTTTGTCTTTTAAAAATTAATTTTTTTTTGCAGTTGCATGTAAATAGCTCAGTTCCATGCATGATCACAGCTGCACACGACTACTGCCTCTGGGGGGCAGGGAGCCAGCATAGGCAGAATTTCCAGATAGCTAGCATATATACCAGGGGTGGCCAAACTGTGGCTCGGGAGCCACATGCGGCTCTTTCACACATACTGTGTGGCTCCCGGCAGGGCAGCTGGGAAAGCGAAGGGGAAGCATGATTCCCCGATCAATCTTCCCTTCCTGAGCCAGTGTTCCCTTTCCTGGGTAGGCTTGAGGCAGGGGGGAGCAGAGAAAGAAAGCAACTTTAGCTTGAAATGCGTTCTCAAAGCCCCCCCCCCCCAGACTACAGATATAATTGGACAAATCAGTATCTATTTTTATCCCTTTTGCTTTTATTTTTGGCAGTCTCATTTAACGTTAATAAAAAGCAAATTTGCATATTATTCAATAAAAACATGTCTGTAATATTTGTTCACATCATGTGGCTCTCAAACATATGATGTTTATTCTATGTGGCTCTTATGTTAAGCAAGTTTGGCCACCCCTGATATATCCCATGGTTGTATGAATTAGGCCTGAGTGAGAATAAACTGCATTAAAGCACCAAGTGTTTGTTGAGAGGAAATAAATGCTCAAGTGACATGACTAAAGAGAAGCATTCATGTGTGGAGAGAGCAGGAGTATAAGAACCTTTTCAGAGAGGAACAAATATTTCTATTCCTACAAAAGTGCTTCCAGATGAGACCATTTTCTGCATCTTCTGAAATGGTGACTACTTTTTTTCCCCTCTAGAAACCACAATAGTAGAGATTTGTGGGAGATGCTTGTTCTACTGAACACAGGGCTGCGAGTACAGGAAAATGGTCTCCTGTACTATTTCTGAACAGTTCAGAAATAACATATGCAGTCTTGAATAATTCCTAGAGAAATATCTTTACTGTAAGGTGACTAAAGGAAGCCAGGAGTGCCCTCATATGTTTACTGGTTATTCCAGAAACTGGCACAGTCCCGTGTCGATAGTTACTCTTAGGCAGAGGTCTCACAAAAGCTTTTGAATAATTGTTTTGGACAGGCCTCGTGCTTATAGTTTGAAAAACGAAAAGGTACCTATTGTGAGAAATGCCTGAGGATAGAATCAGGACAGGGCAACAGGGCAGGGCAAGAGAAAAGTGAAATGTAGTATTAGTTGATGTATCTAGAAGGAGGGAATAAAACAAGGGGAAGAGAGAAACTACTAGAGAAGAAATGAAGGCAAGTGAGTTGGGGACACTATTTTGAAGCATTTTCAGAGAAGCTGGGTATGAATATTGCAGATTAAGCCAGTGTTTAAAACTAGAATTGAGCCCTGCCCCGTGGTACAAGGCAGGAGCAGGGATGAAAGAACTGAGACAGCTAGGGAAAATGAGGTTGGAAATGGGTGGAATAGTCAGCAAATCGGGAACAGGTACATATTTAGAAATACTGACACCTAGAATAATTGGAGCAGAAGGAGGAGGGAAAAAGAGACCTGCTATTTTGGTTCTTCCTCTAATCACATCTGCCGTTATTGCTAAAATCAATTAGAAAACCTGATTTTAAAAAATCATAAATGGTCAGCTGGCAGAATTTGCCAATTTTATTTTTTCCTTGAAAATGAATACCATGATTGTTTAATCTGAGATAGTCTAATTTTTAAAGCATTTTCTGTTTACCTTCCATACAGATTTAATTCACAGTGCCATTGCTTCATATCGATATAAACAGAACAAAGTGAAATGGGCGAGGGGTCACAGCAAAGTTGAAAAATCTGCTCTTACATATATTCAAACTTCAACCGCAAAAAAGGAAGTTCATTTTAGATGTTTCGTAGTTAAATAATTTATAAATAGCTCATAACAACCTGGAATATAGTTGCTTTTGAACAAGAATGTGTTTGGGGACAGGATGAAATAATTCCATTCCCCTCCCTTATACTGCACCCTAACTGACAAATCAGTTAGAGAAAACAAAGCCGCATCCGTTTACCTCAGCAACTAATATGGCCAAATATTATGCAAGTAATATGAAAACTTGGATGGGGGTGGTTTTAAATTAGCACTTAGGTTGTGTATTCTAGCAGAGATCCAGGACTGAGTGGTATTGACCCCAGATTCTCCCTCATTATTACAAGATTCTGTTCTAGTTATGGTTACCATGAAGTTTTATAACATTTTAAATTCAAGGTTAAATTTCTTAGTCTTCCTGTCCTTTTTCCTTTTATTTTTACAAGTTTCACAATTTTCTTTTAAATGGCAAGTTTTAAAATGTATGCTGCCACTAAATTACTACAAACATTGATTATTCTTGAGATCATTCTCTTCTTGGTGAAGTGGCCAGTTTTTGTCCAGGTAGAACTGCATGCCATTTTCATGAGAACTTCATTACGATTTGCTATTTAGTATCAGGTTTTGATCCTGAAGCCTGTGAAGTAATCAGAAAATAGACAATGCTTCTGAACATATGCAGAAAGCTTTCCCCCTCACAACTATGGGCAGTTCCTAAGAATCATCACTGGGATCAGTGGCAGGTCAACAGGAAACACAGCAGAGTATGGCTCAGGTACTTCCTGTTACTGGGTTTGCAGTTTTGCTCCCCCCTCCTATGCGACTCATATTGGGCTATCTGCACTAGCAGCAACTAAAATGAGGATTGCCCCAAATGTGCCATTTGCAGGAAATCAGCCATAAATCTGTTTGTGCAGAAGCACCCACAGTGTTCACAGCCAATTGGGAAAGGCTTGCAGGTGTGCAGGTTATTTTTTAAGAGGTCAAACATTTTCTATCATAACATCTCACACAGTAGGAAACAAGTGTTGATTTCAAAGCAGAGAAACAAACAAAAAAAAGGCAGCCTACAATTTGATTATAAAAGAGATAGGAGATCAAGGAGGAGAGATAAGAAATACTTTTGTTTATTTAAAAAGTCACAAAAAGATACCAGAGATATCAAAAAAAGAAAAGAAAGGCTGAAAAATCAAAATGTTTTTTTTAAAAAAAAAGAAAGACAGAGTTAGTGTGGACACAGTATTTCAGTCAGTCAAAGTTCCTCATACACCCTCAAGCCTTCTATCTTCTGTGGCTGCTCAATGTTTTTTTGTCTTGTCTTGAGAATAATTTTCATTTGTTTTGTTTAGGGAGTCCATACTCCCATTCCCTGTCACCACACTCGTCAGTATTTTCTCTACCTCCCTAGGCAATATTTGTCTCTCTTCATTCTCTGTCTCCCTGTGGTAGAAATAATTAAAGTTGGAGACAATGACTGGCACAGGGAGTGCAATCGTCAGCACCCCTGCAATAGCACATAGAGTCCCCACTATCTTTCCCCCCAGGGTGGTAGGACACATGTCTCCATAGCCAACAGTCGTCATGGTGACCACAGCCCACCAGAAGCCATCAGGTATGCTGGAGAAATGTGATCGTGGTTCATCCACCTCTGCAAAGTAGATGGCACTAGAAAACAGTATGACTCCAATAAAAAGGAAAAAGATGAGCAAGCCCAGTTCCCTCAT